CTAGCCCCGTCGCGCGCGCGGTGAGCGCCCATTGTACCGAGTGCCATAGAGAAGTAATTTGCTGGTCGAATCAGTAATTGATACCACAAAGTTTGCCTCGAAGCATGGCGATAGGTGGTCGCACCTGGGACCTTCTTTTCAACGGCACGCATCACTAACCACTCTGCACTGCAGGCTAATTGACGGCGTGCGCGGTGGTCTGGCTGGACTAGCGCCGTGATCCTAGTCTTACCCGAAGTTTCGAAAGCGGAGTTTGTCAGAAAATTTTATGATCTGTGAATTGACCTTATGGTGTATAGTTTAGAAATATCGAGTGAACAGACTCACTTGGACTAGTTTGGCAGGCCTGTTACCGCCATTATCTCTTTTGCTCTTCATTCATGGCAATTTCGCTTTCTTGCCTATTCTATTTCGCATTTCCTTGAGAGCGATTGTGGTGTGGCAGCTGGCACTTGTAGTTCTTAACGTTTCCTTAACGCAAACACATTCTCTCATTCAAATCTAAATCGATTACAAATACTTTTGCGAAAATAAATGGGAAAAGGTTGTACTGATGTAGTAAGTTACGTGAGAACACCAAATTTTTGGACACGTTTGACTACACCTGGACCGCATAGTAGCGCATGCTTATAGAAGGATAAGAGGTAATCAAACAAGATATGACAAGTTCTATTAATAAAAATTAGTTAATGGCGATTGAAATGAGGCATCGGTGATCGTAAAAGAAGCTATAAGTTAGCTCAATAAATAAGAGATGTGAAACCTTTTCGATTTTTCTAGATGATTGTTGCTGACTGAACGGACGTGAGACTCAACTAATAATTTATGACAATTATACCTTTATTTCGAGTGCTTCGTTTAGACCACGTCAAATTTCAATAGATTCTTTCATTATTATTTGAGCCAACTTGTTATGTGGTCTGGTAAGGGCTCTTGTACAGCCCGATACACGTGTTTCGTCCTTACAGATTCGTCTTCGAAACTTGGCTGAGGATTTCACTTGACACAGAGTGTAAAACGTTTGTCTTCAATGACTCTCTATAAGTAGTGTAAGGCTCCCGAGAGAGAGAACTGTTTATAAAAAGATCGAAAGACGACGGGTTCTGCCCGGCTGACAAGTCTGTAAGGACGAAACACATGTATCGGGCTGTACAGGAGCCAGTACCGGACCACATGACAAGTTGGCTCAAATAACAATGAAAGGATCTATTGACACGTTACTTGCCAGAATACAAGATTCTTGATTGATAGAAAACCGTCAGGACTTTGTTAGTTTTTTGAATAAGAGAGACTTTACCGACATCGGCAACTACTGTTTAGTCTCTCTGCTGCCTGCCCTCTATAAACTTCTCGCACGAGTCATCTCAAGCAGGATTGACACGACACTGAACGAGTACATTCATCGATCAAGCAGGGTTTTGTGACCGACCTAATGCTGTAGACCACATCTGCAGATAAAAGGATCAAGAAGCGTTACGAGAGTGCAGAAAATTGCCTTATCTCACTTAATTCGAGCCAACTTGTCATCGAAGAGTCATCGAAGACGAACACATCGGGCTGTACAAGAGCCCGTACCATACCACATGACATGTTGGCTCAAATAATAATGAAAGGATCCATTGAAATTTGAGCGTGGTCTAAACGAAGCACTCGAAATAAAGGTATAATTATGATAAAAGTACCAGCCGAAGAGCAATCGAGTGCGCAACACTCTGTGTTTGGTGCAGGTTCCACTTGACATGGAGTGTAAAGCGTTCATCTTCGATGAGATCTGTAAAGGAGTATGAGGCTCCCGAGAGAACTGATTATGCAAAGATCGAAAGACGACTGGTTTCGCCGGGCTGACGAGTCTGTAAGGACGAAGCACGTGTATCGGGCCGTACAAGAGCCCTTACCAGACCACATGACAAGTTGACTCAAATAACAATGAAAGCATAATTCATGACAATCTCATTTTTTAGACCTGGTAAGGTTTGACGTATCTTCACTTAAAAATATAATCCATTACTGAGATAATGGCTGATTGTTTTGGGACTTTCATATGCATGGCCTGTGATCCTCCGTTCTCATCGTCATTTTATCAGCTGCTACGAGATTTCCTCAGCTATTGTGCTTCGCTATTCACCCTGATGTACGGAGATGGGACCGTAACTACATCACCCTGTCATATAAAATTGATAATGTGAAAGATCTACAACAATTTTCTCCTATCCGTAATCCCCGTCTCGGACCCTAAATTTTGCAGTAGATCGCAATAGATCAAGATCGTTGTCGTTATCACTGTCATTACCTTCATTACAATCATTAACATTGTCATTATCATTACCGTTATCACATTCATTATAACTGTCATTATTGTTATCAATGTCATTATCATTACCATTTAGCGATGTAATTTTCTCGTTGAAGCACAAGAAATATAGACGCATTGTATATCATGTAGATGTTTTTTTAACTAAGATTATCTCTGTAGAAACCTTTTCAATGAAACTCTAATATTTTGCAATGGTAATGCTACTTGGGAGTCTCGGTTCGTCTCCTGGTATCTATCGTGATGTCTGCGTCTGCCTTCCCACGAGATCCGCTCGCTATGAACGACGCCGCCATCACAATGCCTGATTGAGATTCTACGTCACACGGGACTGCACGAAACGTACCGTATGGTGCACAAAAGGCTATCGGATACGTAATTACATGAACAGTTTTCCACAAGCCGTGCCTCCCAATCGTACTATATCTCTAATTCATTTCGCCTCAGTAGCTATGTGATTCGATCTCACCTTTTGGCTCAACTGTAAATCCATTACATTGCTATAACGTGCTATCACGGTGCTCTAGCATGATTCTCTTTGAAGTTATCCATTTGTCGTCCGGAGTATAATCCCGTGAAAAAACGATAAAAATGACGATTTCCAAGAGGCTACCACCTCTTCGAGTTACAAAGGGTTTCAGCGTGATATTTCTACATAAATGGCTGGCCAGTTCAAAAACCAAGAACGTTGACCGCAGTGGCGAAGTCGAACAGCCCACGACACTTCCTTTTGCCGCTACAATGGTTTAGAAATAAGTCCACCAAATTTTGCTGCTAAAGAATTCTCAAAATAAGAAGAGACGGTGGAAAATTTACACTATCTGCTGCGTCACGGAGGCCATTTGACGTAGTTTATGTTATTATTAAATCAAAAGATCGACTGTTTTTAGAACCCCGAAAAAAACATTCACAATAATTCCGAAAAAGGCGATTGTGGTGCGTTGGAGGATGTCACCAACACACGACACCTATTTGTGCACCTCAGGGCCTTTTTCAGGCAGTCATGCGTCTGATTGAGATCTAAATAAATTTAGATTTCAAAAACGTCAAAAAAAAATGAAGTGCAAAAGTGTAATTGACTGATGTATGAACTTACGCGTGACTAGCACTCCTTCAAACCGAGAACGAGTTCCGTAATTTAGAAAGGATTAATCATAAGTGAACCATACCATTTTATGCTGGTAGAAGAGTAGGAGATAAAGAAGATAAGATATGATCAAACAAATTTTTTAAAGTTTTCAAGTTAATTCTTATTGGCACCAGAATAATCGGTGGGCTGAATGATTGGTGATTCAGAGAGGAATTTTGAGTTGGCAGTATAGATGAGAGATGTGAAATCATCTTCGAGTTTCTAGATAGCTTTTGTCGAATCAACGGAGGCGGAGTTTGCCTATACTTTTCTGGGGTCTTGTGCTTGTCCAAGTAAGATCAGAATTTTTTGAATGCTCTTAGTTATCCGTTTTAATAACTCATTATACTGAGCATTAATTCCGGCCAATTTATTAAAGCGGTAGTGTTTGATGCGAAATAAATCAAGATTGCTGAGATGTAAGCCAGAACCTGGAACGTAATCTTCTGACTCGCGATCACACCTGCGGCTTTGCAACTTCTCCACTGCACCATCGAGGCCCTCGTGCTTTCTGTCAGTCGTGACTCAAAGTTCCCTGTTTTTTTTCAGTCTCAGGTACTAAATTTGAAGCTTTCACTCGAAAGTTGTCACCAACAACAGCCAAGCTCTTGCTGAATGTGTATTTCTTTGCATATCTGATATAAAGCGGATTTTTAGGAGGTGCCTGTCGGTAGTTTTTCTTGTTTAGTTGAATCGAGTCAATGACAAGCCTGTTAGGTGGAGATACATCCCAAGATGTTCCGTGAATAATTGTTTCTTTCAACAATTCATCAGCAAGTTATGGTTAGTGGACTTTCAAAAGGTCATTAGGTCAGAATCCTGGCTTATTCAAGATGTCTCTGTAAATCAAACAATAAGTTAGCGGTACTACATCAACTTCTAATGGATTCCCTTTATTTTACTTGATTTTACATCAGTTCCGACCAGAAAACATGATCTAAATTGTTATTTTCTTTCTGCTGGTTTATTTTGCTACACTAACTTCCCTATCTGCGTCTCGTCCTCGCCGTCCAGAGAAGGCTCTATTCTGCACCAAAAAATCGAGAATGTACAAAGGAAGCTCTAGTCAAGCACGGGAGCATTACTGAATTTTTAGTAATTTTTGAAAGCTTGTTAATAATTTCAAATGTGTACTTGTTCTTGAAAAAACGTCTTTACTGCGCTCTATCACTGAAAATCAGACAGCTTCACATGCGACGCGAGTGAACGCGTGTATTTTTACTTTCTATGCGAAAATGTTTTCTCTGCACTAAAGCAATTTTCGCTTTCTTGCCCTGAAATTGTGAAAGAATTTCTGCTTCACCGGTATGAATGAAACACGGTTCAATTCCCGTCTGAGGTCGAATTTCTGCTTACCACTCAATTCCACTAGGAATATTTGAAGCATGTTAAACACTTCCAAAAAGCAGTAAAAACATAACAAATCTTGAAATTATTTAGTACGATGACTGTCAGCTTAACTGGGTAATGAAGCGATATTGTCCAAGCAAATGTGTTAATGACTGGTTGCTGATAGCTGTGATACAAAGATATTGAAGAATGACTGGTGAGTAAGCGGTGGCCTCTGTGGTGTAGTGGTAGCACACATCGCCGGTATGGATGAAAAACGGGTTAAACTCCCGTCTGAGACTGACTTTTTGCTCACCACTCAATATGCTTAGGAAACATTTTTGATCAATCGTTTCGCAGGCTCCGGTCATTCATTTTCATTATACATTGTTAATTAGATCCGCACCTGGGCCTATGCATAAGCTGTATGAGCGTGTACCCGAAAAGGATATGAACGTCTAGGAGAAATCTCGCAGTACCAGAGTCATGCACTCTCTCTATAGTTTGCCACAAAAGAGAGAAAAATCTCAAACTGAACCACAAACATCACGCGCAACCTATGAATTAAACTCGCGATTATCGATCGTGCTGCGCGATCAAGTTATTCTGTGACGCGATAAATCAAATATGTTATTTTTGTTTTACAACACTTTGAGGTTTTCTTTGAAGCAAAAGTAAATTGTCGAAATTGCCAATATTTAAGCTATAAGATGATTATTGAAAGCCTGGAGAAGTCCTATCTCCGAAGGGCAAGAAACACTTCTACATAACAGAATTGTAACCCGATATGCAGCCTTATCGCCGAGCAAAGTGCCCACTAGGTGTGAAACGTGGTCTAATTTTTGCTGCCACAACGCTTATTCAGGATTTCTCAAATATAATATTGTATTTGTCAAGGTATCAGCTATCAAACGATTCATGAAAACTGAGGAAACAGTGGAAAAGGTGCGCGTCAAGTGCAGAGGTGATCATATTTGCGCTGCTGTGGCACTGTGTAAAAGTTTTTTTCTGAAATGTAAACTGAAGTATGAAGTTTATGGTACAAGTTTCGAGCATTTCGTAGTGTCTGGCATGTCACATATACACTGCTATTTAGGCCTGTTTCGCCTTTCCAGGCTCATCAGTGGTACAATGCCTTTCCTTTCAGCCGATCCCTTGCAGGAGTACACCTCTGCTTATTAAGGGATCATTGCCGAATAGCAAATCATCGTGAGTCAATTGATATGTGAGAGTTATCTACGGTTGGTAAGAAAATTTTGAGGCACATTATTGAGCATAGGATAGCTCTCGAACATATTATATAATTTTCTTATGTGGGATTTTCTCACTAAAGGCCTGAATACTAATCGTCTTATTTTCACTTTGCCACAAGTCTCCTCAATGTCCAACCATACAATCCGAAGTTCGTGCTTTACTTCGTCATTGTAGAGAAACGGTTTTTGACAGCGAGCTACAGTTGATCAAGTCAACAAAGTTAAAGGGTAAGGAGCAACAAACAAATCTGCTGTTGTACGCTCGCTTCAGCACTTTAATGCCGTAGATCTTAACCTCGAAAGCAAATGTCGTTCTAATCGTCCAACAAAGTGGTGCAACGAAGATTTGATCGCTCCTTTGGAAGATGAACTCTTGTTAACTACTTGCGAACTGACAAACGAACTCGAGTTTCTCACACAACTGTGCCAACTCATCTCTATCGGCTTAACGTTGACCACAAGAAGCCACGACAACATCGATCAGTGCAAAGCTTGCTGAAGGGTTTGAATCGTTCGATAAAGTTGATAAAGCATGTCCGAGATACTTTGATTCAAAGTTCAAGGAATGGTATTTCGACCAAATTCGGAAAGTCATAAAAAGCAATGACCTTTATTTTGACGAATAGGTGTTATTGCTTTTCTTCAAAATTGCATAGATTTTCAGTTTTCTGCAAGTGCCCTAGAACTTTCTTTCCATCCTATTTTTTTATAAGTGGGGTTACATTCCACTAGGATCGGCTGAACCGAAAGGCACTGTACTACTGATACTAAGGAAGGCGAAATAGGCCTCTTTAGTATTGTGTAAGTGCCATATCAGACCACATAAAAGGCTCAAAACATGCTATCATATTATGAGACTATTATTGTTCTTCGTCGCTTTCGCGAGAGAGATCTTAATGCTCGCCGTGGCGCGTTTGGAATGAAACTACACTCCACACTCTCTTCGACAGATAACGACAACACCTCATGAAACACCACATCCAGGCTATCCTCGAAAGTGCAAGGAGATTTGCTCAACCAGAATCCTACGCATTCCAAGAAGAAGACGAAATGACGAATTGAATTCTAAAAGTACTGCAGTCCGAACAGTGCAAAGAGGCACAGCGAAGACGGATCAATGAAATGTCTAGGAATGTATTGCTTTTGGGCGAGTTTGATAAAAGCAAAGAATGAAGAGGTATAATTCATTTTAGCAGCCACGAGTTCGACTGTGCTTTTCGTGCTTTCAATGCGATAATTGTAGAGATGCGCGCAACCGGTGCAAAACATAATCTTATTTCGAATGCCACAGCGTTATTGAAGATTCTTCTTTGAAAAGGACAGTTTAGGGCTGTAGGCAGGGAATTTATATGAAATAACACTCTCATGGAAACTTCTTGTCCACCAGGAAGGGGCCGTTTCTTTATTCGTCCGCTGATAACGGAGAAGAATCATCTTCCTTTTACATGGACAGTTCTTACATGCTTGAAGCGCTGTTTGAATCTTGGATACGGCATAGTACAAAATGTATCGTGTCGAACAGCTTCGCTTCTCGCTTAGCTACTGCAATAACGGAGTCACGTTTTGAGGAGAGTGTGTATTGGAGAGTGCGGCAATAGGAATAAGAAAATTTATTTGGTTTATGGAAACATTATCACTACTGAAGGCTAGGATATCAGGAAAAACAACTGAGAGAATTTTTCACTATGAATAATGCCCGTGCATCCTGAAAATCACGGTGATTGCACGAGAAAACCAGTCGTTGGAAGAGAAGCGTATTTCTATCTCTTCTTGTATGTGGTGATACAATCATTATCAGAGATCCAGGCAGTTGAACTAGCTCATTGTAGATAAAATGAGTGAAAACTAATCTTCAGTTAACATAATACTCGACTGAACAGAACAAGGAAAATGATTAGCAGCAATTTTTCCAAAATTGTTCTGTTACGTACGATATACTAAATATTACAAAAGAGATACATGTCGTAACTTCTCTTAGCAAATCGTGGGAACACTTTATTAGCGAGCAGAGATTCTGGAAGAAGGAAGGCGATCGCTCATTGTTTTACTATGGAACTTTTACAACTTACTAAAGACACTCAAAGTCTTAAAAGAGAGTGGTTTTCAAAATGATAGCTTTCTCCATGTCCACTGCGTTGTTATTGGTTGTCTAGAGAACTGAAGATGCGTCCTGTTCTCTCTACAAATTAGCGGAGTTGTAGTTTTTTTCGAAATCATCGTCCACTCAGTTTGAGCTACTGCCAAATAGTCCTTAGTGGATAAACTTGATAAAACTTGTTTATTTCTTATCCTTGCTGTTTCGTATTCTCTTATCAGCGTAGATTACTGTTGTGGTTCATTTATAGCCCAATGCGGTTGGAAAGAGGTTCCATTCAGATATGAGATATTATACTGGCCAATTTTTTTGCTCAAGCCATTTCCACAAAGGTGCTTGCAATCAAAATTCACTCAGATTTGTAGTTAAAAAATGTGTTTTGGGAAAAAGACCGTCAGAAGTCTGAAAGGCAGCCTCCAGGTACCGCCACCGGTTGCCAAGACATAGTCGGCGCAAGAGAACCAAGGAGATTAGAAAAAGAAGGAAGAAGTCAAAAAGCCCTTGGACCAAGCATTACTAAAGGACTGCCAGAACTTACTGGCCCCACCGTTCACCAAAGTGAGCACATTCATACGATATTCCTATGCCACACACCACAGCTCCGATAAAAATTCACGGATTATGTATCGAAGATTAACATTCCCCCAGACCCCGTCACCGGTAGCCAAGTCACAGTCGGCACAAGAAAAATAAGGAGTGGAGAAAAAGAAGGAAGAAGCAAAAAAGTCGTTGGACCCAGCATTACTAAATGATTGCGCATCTCTTACGGAATGACCAACGCCGAAGGCTTCTCACTTTGGAGCTTAAGTGGGGTATACCTAAATCATTACACCAAGCAATTTACTCTTTAGACTACTTACCCATAGAGTAAGTGTTACTTGACGCGGTGAATCGATCCCCCATAGCATCACAACGGTTGGTCAGATTTAGATCCCTCAATGAGGAAGATCTGCGGAGAGAATCGTTACAGGGAACAAAGTATTACATGGAAGATTGGTGGTGCAACATAAGACAGATGAATACTTTATAAAGAACGAGGGCGAAGTGAAAAAACATCAGTGGATTTCGGAAATCCGTGCCCTAAGAAAAAGCTTATTCCTTCAAAAAATGAACGCAATAAAGTCGACCTATCAATGCACTTGACTTTAATGTAAGCGATTATCTTAGAAAGATTAGAAAAAAAGCAATGGTCAATGCACTTTTGCGTTGGCCGTGCTGCCCGAGAATACTAAATCCACTTAACTCGATCACATTTGTGAGCTCAGATCGAGTGGAATAAAATAGCCAACATAGCTAACACATTTCATGAGAGCTAAATGTCATCGTCATCATCATTTTGTATTTTTAAAACGAAAGGGCGTGATGGTCTTATATTAAAAAACAATTTATTAGATTTTTTGCCAATGAAATCATTGAACAAATCCGAAAATTCACATTCAATCAACAACGATTCATGTAACAATTATATGTGTCCATATGGTTTTTTGAAATAAAACGGAATACCTTGAATTAGTTTTCCGTAATAAGTAAAGTTCAAAGTTTTTTATGCGATTTCCTAATCACTGAAAGCGATTTTTCTATATCTCCCTCGAGACAATAAACTCTTTTGATGCGTATATTTTAGCAGCCCTTTACCCATTTAGTTACCTATTGGTGAGACAATTTTCACTTGAATCTGGTGAAGGTAAACCTTGATGCTAAGTAATGATGCACAGAGAGTTTTTTCTCACACTGTCGTCTTCACAAACAAAAATGAATGCCAGAAAATATTATCGTGCTCAAGAAGATCTGTAATATTGGCGAAACGATAGAATTTTTCGCTGATTTACACGAATGTCTTCATTGCTATCAACGAAGCGTCTGTTGCTATCATGATAAGAATATAGATAAGAATAGAGCACGCACTCGCAGATAGGGTGAGGTGCGCGTTCTAGTCGCGCCTGACTCGAAAGTT